GCCGGGAAGCTGGTGCGCTCCAACCACCGCCTGATGGCCGCCTACGTCCAGCTGATGCCCTCCATCGTCCAGCGCAGGGTCGCCGACTACGAGGCCCTGGAATCTCACTACCAGCATGTTACTTTTCTAAACTCTGATGCTCAAAAGCAAAGCAAAGCAAAGCAAAGCAAAGCAACTTCTAAGTACACTTTATGTGTGTGTTTTCTTCTAGCCAAGTTAGCTGGAGAATTCTAAGAGATGGATTTCAAAAGGTAACTTTTCCATGCTCTCCAATTAGCTGTTGGGAGGGATTTTAACAGTGTTGAAGGCGTAATGCATATTCCACAACTGCTTTTGACATTCCTCTTTGACTTAGTCTGAAGCTATGAACAGTGTGTCTGCTTGACACATATTTCAAGGCATATTTGCTTACTTCAGATAAACTATTTACAGGTGTACCCTAAATAAGGCTGAAACAAAAATATGAGATGATGTGCATGCTGGCCCTGCCTCTTCCATAGCCAGTTAATCACGTGGAAGGGATGCAGTCTGAAAGTGAGAGCCTCCTGTACACATGAACACCTCTGGGCAACCCAGAATCCTGGAAAATTATGATTCAGAGTTAAATGGAGAGTTTCCAATCATATAGGGGGCTCTTCATGACTCCACGGGCCGAACGGGGCGCCCAGGTCTTCGGTGTGTGCCAAGAGGCGGCCGGCCACCAGCGCCTTCCCTGCCTTGAGCGCAGAAGGTGGGGCCGCCTCTCCGACGAGCCTTTCCGGCAAGCAGGATCCCCGGGAAGAAGCCCTCCTGCTCCTGCTCCTGCTCCAGGCCCTCCCTGGCTTGAAAGCAAGGGTTCTGAGTTGGGCCGGGAGGGAAGCCTGGACAGACAGACAGACAGACAGAACCTGGCGGGGTGGCTTTGCCTGGCAGGTTGTCGGCTCACCTGGACTGGATAGTGGGGTCCCTGGCAGAGCGGGGTGGTGGGGCTGGTCTGGTCTGCTTCCTTGTGTCATTTCCACAGGCGAGACAGAGGTCACCTTTGAGGGCCAAGAGGGAAGCTTGTTGCCTTTTGGGGGGGGGCAGCCAGGGAAGGGCTCATTATTGCCAGGCTAAAGCAGAGAGGCCATCTTGGCTCTTGCAGGACTGAGAGGCCATGGATCATACAGCTGCTGAATCCTTCCCTCCTCCTGGGTCTCCAGTGCACTCTGTGATGGCAACACTGGTGGCCAGGGCGTTTGGGGATTGAAAGTGGCCAGGCGGAAACAGGGAAGGTGTAGCTTTAACCTGAGGAGAGAATGAAATGTCCCACATTAAACCATTGTTTAAAAACAGTGTGAAGTTGTTCTTGTTTAGTTGTTAAGTCGTGTCCGACTCTTCGTGACCCCATGGACCAGAGCATGCCAGGCCTTCCTTTCTTCCACAGCCTCCCGGAGTTTGGTCAAATTCATGTTTGACCCTGTCCGTCCATCTCGTCCTCTGTCGTCCCCTTCTCCTCCTCTTGCCTTCACACTGTCCCAACATCAGGGTCTTTTCCAGGGAGTCTTCTCTTCTT